GAGACAGACAGTCGAATGAGTCATTTACTCAGTCAAACTTTTTGCTAGCTTGGTAGCTTGCCATGCATCACAGGAAGGCTTGCTTACTTCACTGCAACTGCGTTCAGTGCGAGGCCATGCCACATAATTCAACCCCATTTGCACATCAGGGAAGCACATGTAAGGTCCTTACCCCAAGGATGCCCCAAATCATTTTTTCTTTTTCAGTATACTTGAAACATGCATTCAGATTCAAGTTGTAATCAATGTGGTTCTACACAGTGGTGATGCTGCCTTTGCTGTGGCTTTTGAACTTTATTATTTATCTCTGTTGACCTGCTTGTGATGCTAAAGGTATGCAAATTACTTTTGAATGTTTGGCCTATTTCCCCAGTGTTCCCAATTTCTTTCTCTTTTACTGTAATCAGAAGTCAATAAAATAACGAAGGGTCTGTTTTAAAGCTACTGATAAAAGTTTGATGTTAGAAATTAGCTTAATAAAATCCAGGTTTTGAATGCAGATGTCTTAGTTTGAACACCTGGATGGTCAGTGATCTGTTTTTGAGCATAAAAAAAGCACTTAATACATTTGTAAGCTTATGGCAGCTAGTGGACGAATACTTTGGTTTGGTAGCTCAACTGAGGGCTGAATAAATGTGCAGTATGTGAGTTATGTCTTTCTGAAACAGCCCAAACATGCTCAGTTGTGGAACATGAATATCACATATTAGCTACACACAACTCATTATGAATTCCTTCAGCTCTCCTGGTCCCTGTGGACATTCATTTAGCTAATTATCTTGACCAGAGAGACCCATACATACTGAGGGGTTAAAGGTTCAGTGACTTGCTCAGGCTTTGACTGCACACACAGCATTTGATGGACGTTTTGGCAGTTACTGGTCAAGTTTTTTTTGTTAGCAGCAGTAGAATTTAATACAACCAACTCGTTCCAGCTCCATATGTTGCCATTATACGATTGTTTGCTCAGATGAGGCAGAACACTGAAAAGCCCTTCCACTGAACTCAACCAGTGTCTGGAAAATATCATGCTATGCATCTCATGCTTAAACCCCACAATTTATTTTTTTCAGCATAGCAGTCAGTAATTTCTTGCTTTGTGTGACAAAAGAGGCATATTCAGTCTTTACTGTTTGTATTTTGTGTGATTATTTGTGACAGATCTGATCCTCCATTTTCTTTTAACAGGGTGCTCAAGATCGGTACATTGGAGTGGTACCATGAAAACGTCCGTGCCCGCTTCAAACGCTTCGGCAGCGCCAAGGTGATGCGATCGCTCTTCAAGAGGTTGAGCGGAGAAAGCAGTTGCTCTCAGAATGACCTTGAAGGTGAGCAGTTCAATTTATGTATCAAGATGCTGTTGTGTGTTGTTTTCTATACAGAAAATATATGTGACGCTACTAAATTGGTTTTTGAAACGTTTAGGTTTCCCCAACATAATGCACATGACTTTAATACTTCTGTCTGGAATGTTTAAATCCTTGATCCACTTGTGAAAATAAGTATGTGGTAAGAAGATGATTAGCACAACTTTACCTAACAAATACTGTTAGTTTGGCCTTTTAGCAAAGAGATTAACCCCGCACCAGCTGACTGAAGCTGCTCAGTGGTCAACAGTCAAAAAAAGTAGTTATGCTGGGCAGCTGTCAAGTGGGGATCTGCAGCCTGTATGAACATGAAGCAGTGCTAATCAAAGGCTAAATGTGTTAGAATGACAGGTCTCAGGTCAAGGTTACTTTTAAGGGGCAACCCTAACAAATATCCATCTGTTCCACTCATTTCTTTACAAGCCCTCAGGAGGTGCTGCGGGTCACAAGTTGAGTCTGCCAGAGAGCATTGCTGGAACTTGAGCTTACCATAAGAAATCCTCAATAAATGAAAAGCTTCAAGGAGATTCAACAGCTGCATACTGTACTGTAACTGCATGGAAAATATGTCTCAGCCTTTAGAATCACACTCCGGCATCTAAAAGTTGGTGAAACACGTTCAGCGCATGTGTGAATTGTGTCGGTTTTTAAGTTCAAGAATCGGACTGCAATAATTCTTAGTATTTCCCATATTATCCCAGTGAACAGCAAAAGTCCAAGCAAGTAGCACAGATATTATCCTGCTGAATGCTACGCTATTAACCAAATCATATCCCAATGGAACACATATGGGAGATCAGAACAGTGCTCATCATAAAAAACACACCAAATTTGGAAATGTTACTCAAAACAATGGCAGGAGCAGAAAGTACTCTAGAAGCTCCTGGTGGTCCAACACCTTGCTAAGACACTTAAAGGTCCAGTGTGTAGGATTTAGTGGGATCTAGCGGTGAAGCTGCAGAATGCAACTAACTGAACACCTTTAGCGTATGTATTTGACAACCTTGGAGTGAGAACAGACTGTGGCTAAGTACACGAAAACACAAAGATTCCTATGTCTAGATGATTATACACTGAACTTGAATATTATATGCCATTTATGTCAATAGATCCTCCTAAATGTTACACACTCGACCTTTTAATGTTGCTCTTTTTCTTTAATTTTTCACCCATCTGTGTATGAGACCCTTCATTTTTGTGACACTGAGTCACAAGAATAAAGTTTCCTGTCTCAGATAGTAAGCAATCATCAGGATGCTGCCAAATCTGTCACAGGGATTTTTATCTCTTCCATCTTTCCTGTTTTTCCGGCTCTGGCTCCTCACAGCTGTGCCGAGTGCTGTCACAGACTAGTGTCTCGGGCCTGGATACAGCTCGGCACCAGGTCCTCCATTGTCAGGCTTTTGTCCTTATCTGACCAGTGTACTCGAAAACTCATTTCCACTGACATTTCCACAGCCTACTGTACCTCTGCAGACATTACTACCAGAGACTCTAATGTGGTGACAAGTCCTGTTTATGTTTGCTGCTTGTGTTTAAAGTCTGATGCAGTGACGATATGAGGCTTCATCAAAACCTTTCCAGCACTTTTTGCTCTCCTTTTTAAGTTGCTCACACAGCATTGCCACTATCCTCTGGCCACACCCGGAGCGTATAAAACAAGTGCCCTTGGAACACGACTGTATTTCAGTTTTAAGCATTATTATACACAGCAGGTCTCCAGTGAGATCATAGCATCAGGAGATCAATGAATTATGAGGAGGCAGCCGCGACTCCTGGTACTGCTTATGCTGAGTCACCCTCGAGGATTTTGGGAATGGATACAGAGCAAGTTGGTTGGCTGGCTTAGCCCAGCGGGCCTTGTGATCATCCAGTCACATGTCTCCCATTCTGTGCCTGGGGCCCTGCAGCTCTCCACCGACCAGAAGCAAGGAAAGGGATAGAGAAAGAGGGTGGGAGAACAAAACTTCTGTTTGTCATGTATTTATGTGAAATCTAGCTCTCGGAGCGCACAGATGCAAGTTGTAGTTATGAAACACAGTCATAAATATGCATGTTAACAGATGCATTATGTTTAAAAATGATCGCCAACTCATCACATTCATGTGACCACATGGATTGAATTCAACATGCATGACTGTACTCACACACACACACAGACAGATGCATTCTTTTGCTGTCTTTCTTTCTGTATGTTTTCTGCTGTGGTCCGTTGGGCCCCCAAAGCTCGGAGGGTGTCATCCTATGTGTCTTTGTGCACACTGAGATGTTACAGTGATTCTTACAACAGAGTCTTTGTTCACATACGTTGCATATAAAAGGAGTTCAACTCAATTACTTGGCTAACCCCAGCTCCTCAGTTTAATGGTGCTACTGCTGCTTCGGATTATTATTTTATGTGGAAAGTAAGGACTACCTGAATTATCCCAATTTGCTGAGCTATTTATTATAGTTACATAATGGCAAAATTGCAAACCTCATCTCAGTCATTTTCATTGTAGGAGACAAGAGTGAGAAGGATAAATTATATGAAACATAACTAAATAAGCAATGTCTTCTTTCATCTTCTCTGTTTTCCAGAGACCCATGAGTGTGACACACACCACAATGAGTACACTAAACTAAATGACTGATCCAAATCATAGGGAAAGGTCAGATATTGTTGACAGACACATACATGTTTTGATTTAAATGTATCCTTCTTTCCCTTTTATTTAACAGTTTGGTGCTTTTAACCTTCTTACCTCATATAACCTGAGAACATTTCTGCAGGCTCTGTGAGACTGCACTTAAGACACAGGTGAGCTTTGAGCTGTCGTCATTAGTTTAGCAGGTATTTCAGTCCCTTCAGGAAGTTAAGATGTTGCTAGTTAATGCAAATTCAGTCAATCCTAGTGAATTCTGAACTTTGTCCAATAACTGTAACAAAATTGCAGACCATGCAGACGTGCAACGCGGACATCTTACAATTACCTTGAGAGGCTTTTCAGTAACGTTTCTTGGAGCTTTCCACGCTTTTGTACAATACCAAAACATCTATTTTTAAAGATTTTTGCAATTTTCCCCCTTTGTCCCTCAATATCATTGCAATTTTTTTTCGAAAAGTTGCCGTGAAATCTGGTATTTTAGGACGCAACAACCACTCAAAAAGCCCTCGAAGTCCTGGAGGGACTTTGTATTTGGTCTTAAACCAAAGCACTGGGCAAATTTAAATGTGGATGTAAAATTCAAATTCATTGTGATTGATCTTCTGTGCAAAATGTCATCCATTAAAAATAGTTTGAGATATCTCAATTGATTAAAGTGATGGACCGACCGACCAACGGACACTGCCATCTCTAGAGCCAAGTTACCAGCCTAATTAAAAAATAATGAAATAGATGATTTACTTTTTTCTTTAGGGGACTTAGACTCTTGACTCATGGCTCCAGCCCTGGTCACACATTTTCAGTTACTTGTTGGAGTCATTTTCACTGCATCTGGGTGGTCAAGGCTAGATTAGGTAAAACGGGGGAGTACCACATCCACAGGGGTTTTAAAGGCCCCATCCCTGTAAATTGTTTGTGGCCATTTGATTAATTGGAAATTTCTTTGGGGAATATGCATTGCAAAACGTTTTTACCAGGGGGTCAGTTTGAGCCCACACATTGTTTTTTAGCCCGGGGCCCCTTTGAGGCTTAATCCAGCAATGTGTGTGGTCTTACTTAGATCCACTTGGGAGTCACATTAATGTTTAATAACTAGTGTACTTACAATAAGATGAAGCCAGACTGTTTAATTATTTGTAAACAGAATAATACTGTAAATCAGGGTTATTTGAAATGTAGTCTCAGTATTAAATATTCATTACTCGGCTATTAAACGGATCCATTTGAACGTTGGAGTTTTGAACGTCTCATACAGTGAGTACAGTGGTTTGGGAACAGACCAGAAGGGTCTGGTTAGGCTGGTACAGTCAGCGCTCGCCTGGCTTTTATTAATATTGGCATATCGAGAGTTGAAGAGCAGAGCCAGGGAAGTTTTAGTCAGGGAAGGGTCAACAAATCATTAGAGGGAGTTATTACTACTAATATATCATTAGAGGTTTTAGATTTAGAGATAATACTAAAAGTTGTACTAATGGTGCTTTTTAGAGTCTTTTGTGTCACATGTTCTCTGCAGTGCAGTAACTGTTGTTGTTGTTGCTTTGCATGAGCTTTTCACTTTGTCTGCTGATCTGGCGAGCTCACTCTTGAACTTTTGCTTCTCCCCGCAGCTTTTCTTGTTCCCAGTCGGTCCTTCCTCTTTCTCTCTCTCTCTCTCTCTGTAAGAAGGAATTGTTACGTAGAGATGCAACAACCCAACATAAACAACTCTCATAAAGAGGTGCTGAAAACACACAGTGTTCCTTCCTTTTGCCTCCCAGCACTGCAGATGGAAATAGAAAAAGCACTTGATTTGTTGCAAGGCGTACAGTGTTCCCCCTGCTGTAAAGACAAAGGTCATGGGTAAGAGTGACCCAGCGGGTGTGAAAGAGGTGTTATTCTCTATTCATGGTGAACTTAGTTTTCATAATGTGACTGTGAGGTTTGCTTACACAGGAGAGTCATAAATGCACGCTTTAGGTCAACGCTAACATGTCTGCCTTCTTTATCAGCAGATGGATATGAGGAGCACAGTATGGACGGCACGGATTCACAACACTACAAAGGGGTAATTCATTTAATTTTTATTATTTTCTCTTACGATTGAAACACTTGTACACGTGTGGTTCTTTCCGCTTTGCTACTAATGCTTAATCTCTGTTTGCTCTGTTGAGGACAATAAATAAATAGACATCTTGCAGCTATTTCGTAGACACTTAAGTTTTAGTGAGTTTGTAGCCAGCAGGAAGCATTCCAGTGATATGCATCATAAAACAAAAAGCAGATATCAATTTGTTCTCAGCAGAGCGTTTGTTAGTTCTGGTGATTTTTACTGCTAATTTACGTTGAGACATGTGGAAACCGGTAAACAACACTCGATTCACTTCAGTTCTGTTGATTTGTTTCCTGTTACTTCATTATAAAGGTTTTTAGTGAGGGAAATCAAAGCAGATCTGCAAAAACAGACAATTTCATTCAAGTCAGCATTTGTGCACGCAACAACTTGACACCGATGTATGCAATGCTGTCGGGTCAGAAAACAGAGGTGCTCGTCTGCACTGGGTTATCTATGTGATCTAGGTCAGCCATCATGAGCAACTGGAATTCTTTGACAGCTTGAGACAACTAAGGCATGGTCGAAACCGACGCTAGCAGCGGTGCATTGTGGGTAAATACCAGGCTGTAATGCATCCACATACACACACACACACAGACATAATCCAATCCAAGTCCGAGCAGAGTTGAAAGAGCGTCTGGTTCAAGTCCTGAGATTGTTAAAAAAAAAAGGGGGGGGGGCACTGAGTCCACTGGAATTCAACGTAAAACCAAAACTACTATTGTTTACACCACAGTCTCTGTGTAATGTGGGAGCTAAGCTTTGTTTATTTTCAATCACTGCAGCGGCTGCTGAGTAGAAGAAAATGTTGACGGGACTCTTGGGCTCTCCCGGGTCTGTGGATGCTTTGTCTTTGTTTTCCAGTGTGACTACTGATGTCTTATTTACATCTCATATGATTGGACATTTGATGGGTGACAGACTTACAGGAAAGGCCGAGTGGAGCTTCCTCCTGCATCCCTCGTTTGATTTTTCACTTCGACAGAGTGCCCTCTACTGTTTCAAATAGATTACTGCCTGTTGAAACACCCCAGGAGCCTCTGTCAGAAACACAAGGCTTGTATCTGGGTCTTTAAAAGAAGCACAGCATGTTCCCCTCATGTAATAACATTACATTTATAGCTGCAGTAGGTAGCTTTTCTAAGAATAACTTTTTATCTTATTTGCTAAAACATTTCACTATATCCTGATAGTAGTGCACGAGACAGATCATCTGTGAGAAAACCAGCTTCCTCTGACTCCTCCTTGTGCTCCTAACAACATTTGCAAGAATCCACCTCATCTGAAGGAAAACAACCAATCAGAGCCGAGACAGATGGTTGATTGTTGAGTCTGAATGAAAAAATATTCATTCTGCTGCACAATAAAAACAGATTTTTAACCCGTTTCCCTAGTTGCACCAGTTTTTTCTATAATCCAAACAGATCTCTATCTATGTATCTCTATTATTAATTATGTTGGCATGTATTGATGATATTTTCCAATATTTTCATACAAAATAATTTATATTCTGCTTGTGTTTTACATAAATAGCACGTATATGTGTCATTTCTGGCTGCACGGATTAGAAAATACAATTCAAACTTGCAGAAATTAGTTTAAAAGAGTCTTTAAGTCGTCTAACAATGCCTACAGAACAGCACTAAGTGGTGTTAACCTTTTTAAAATGATCCACATACAGTAGGCCTGATGGTTTTGATTAAATGTTTGGGTGAGGATTTTCTCTTGGGGTTGAATCCTTCCTTTTCTCTCTTTCTTACCCTTCTGCTCTCTCTTTGGTGACGGTGTTTTTTCCCCCTTTTCTGCTCTTCTAAGATGAAAAAGGCCAAAAGGCGGCTAACCGTCGATCCCATTGATTTCGAACTGGGCTGCGACTACTCTATCGAATCAAGAGGACGGTCAATTCAGGTAAAGGATGGACAACCCCAGAACTAACAGCCCCCGCCCGTCCCGACTCAACCAGACTAATCTGCATGCCTTCATACAACAGGCCTCTGTCTGTTTCTTCTTTAGCTTGTTTCTGTTTTCTTTCTTTGCCAAACTGTTGTCTGGTTCGGCGAGACAATATTACATTAGTGTCAAGCACTGTCATTATTTATTCTCGTATCTGGCCACAATACACTGGTTGTGTACATCCAGATTCTGCATGCTTGCGTGCGCAGACGCTAACATATGTTGTCAGCTCATTAACATAATGAACACTTCACAGAATATAAAGAGACTCAACACATGAAACCAAGCCAACTGTGGCTGTATCATTTGGGGAACATGTAGAAAATGGACTCTGAAAAATGAACTAGAAAGTAAACTAAGGGAAAGTTTGGACGTGCTGAGACACTAACACACCAAACTAATGCCAGTAAACATCAGTTGTGATTGGAAATTTAGCTAAATATAACATAATTCACCTACTGTGCTACCACTTCATTATTTCACTCTCATTCTCCCATTATTGTCTTTGCTTAATTACACTATTTCTATTATTAATCAAAACATATAATTTTCATGCAGAGTATGAATAGGAATTTTTTACTGTAGCTGGTAACTTCATCTACTTAGTAGTCATATATGTAAATGCAATAACTCATTTCGGAGGTACTTTTATCATCTAAAATTAATTTATGTAGCTTTAGATTTCCCAATTATTGTGGACAAACTTTGTATTTTTCTTACTATTTTTGTGACAACCCAATGTCTCCACCCATGCACCATCTTCCACCGACCTACCGAAGCCTGAAACACAAAAGCTCCTTTGCTAATGCATGCAAGATTTCTCCCAGTAGCACTCACCACTCTCCGTCCCCGTTCTCAGACCCCGGTGTCCCAGGACATCATGGACATGGACGTGGGTGTGAGGGAGTCGATGCTTGCTGAGGCTGACATGGCCTCGGTTTTCCAGCAGATTCTGGAGGAGCAACGCGAAGGTCTGGAGCTGGGAATGGCGCCACAGCAAGGTAAAGAAAGGAGGAAACACAGCTAAATGGTTTCAACAAACTGCTGGATAAAAACAGCAAATTCACATCTACAGCATGTACACAACCCTTCTATCACAGGAGCATGGTGAGGAACCATTCTGCTGAGTTAGTGACAATGTTACTTATGAGATACAAGGCCTCGCTTGCTATAATGGAGCTCCACAACTTTAAAGAATTGGCATTACTTTCTTAAACATGAAATTCGGCCACTTTTCCACATGACACGTAATTTTCTAAGATAGCATAAGTTTCTTGCTGTCAGCTCCGGTTAACTGACTACAAAATAAACCAATGCTTGGTTTACTAAATTAGCATGTCAGCTTGCTAGCTATACTACTAAATAAGCATTACTATGGAAACACACAACGTTAGCAGGCTATTTATCGGCAATACTTTCAAGATTTGTCTGTACAGCCAGTTACAATATTGTTACAGTCAATACATTACACTCATAAGCTACAGGGTTAATGTTAGCGGTACATGTACTTCCATGGTATTGTTTGCTAACCTAGTGACCAGTTTTATAACATACAGCGTAAAAGACACGAGAGACTTCCTTTTGCAGGCAAAAGTCCAGTTTTCCCACAACATAGGATTATTATTTCGTAATTTACTGTATCTTATTATTCCACATTGTATTATCAATAATAATAATTATATAATGTATTATATTACATACTTGGGCGAAGTTGATCAGATTGCAGACCAACAAAGTAAAAATTTGCTGGTTTAGTTCATGAAGAACGCAAATGATGTTAATAATTTAGTAACCTGCATAATTGTGCTAATAAGTTAGCATCAGAATTTACACCATAGAAAAATCCTATGCAACACAAAGTAAGCTACTAATTAAACTAGTTAACGCTGAACGCAACCTGCACCAAAATCATCTTTTTAAGCTGTTTTGCAGCCACAAGAACAAGTTTTGACTTAACTTAAATGTAGAAACACCCCCTCATATCTTCTCCAGATGACCTTGCGTACCCAGACAGCCGAACTATTCCATCTCGCTCCATCTCCCGGCTCAGCTACTCCTCATGTGGCAGCGGTAGCGCCTGGGGCCCCCGGAGCAGCAGCAGCTATCTGCCCGGCCCTGACGACTCGGAGGGGGAGGATGACCACGGCCAGCCCTACCCTCTCTACCAGTCTCATCTGCGCCCCTGCAGCCACACCTCCCAGGAGAGCCTTAACTCAGCGACCCCTGCGCCACAGGTCTTTCAAAAAAATCTTTCATCTTTAAATCATCATTATATATCATTAATTAGGCACTTTTGGGACACTCATAAATCCAGTTTTAATATTTTTCACATTGTAATAACGTCAGTAGAAGGTTTTTATTCTGTGGGATGAGGAAGGTCTTTGGGTTCATTATATATTTGGCCTGCAGTCCTCACCCCTTAACACATTGTGAATTAGAGATGTGACATTCACAATCAATTCCCATCACGGCACGTATATTCTGTCTGATATCAATCAACTTTATTGACGTATATACAAACCATATGGCTTTTAACGATGGATTATAAAAGTTGATTGTTTTTTGCTTGGCACAGTTTAAAAGAATTTTAGACCAAGAGACACTCAAACCAAAGAAACATTCAACTTACTGATAAAAGGGTGGCTATTATTTGATTTTTTTTTTACTATTTTTTGCTTTACCTTATCAGAAGAAGAAACAGACAATAAGAAAAATGTCCCACATGGTATAACTCAGAGCTCAAGTTGGAAGGAATTTACCTTATTAAAAGCAGCAATAAAGACCATAAACAAAACTCTTACAATCATAAACTTAACCTTTCCCCCTGTTTAGGTTGTAAGAAAAATGCCTAGTTTGGCACAAACCCTCTGTATATGATATGATCTTGTACAATAATTAATCATGCTTTCACATTTATTAGCTAACAAACTGATTTTCCTTTTATTACTCCAGGTCCTTCTAGCAGAAAACACACAAACACGAGTTCATCGGGCTGACACGCTGAGTGATGTTGTGGCGACAGCTGCTAGATCAGAGGGAGCTTACGTACATTACATCAGTGTCTATTTATGTGTTAGCATACAAGTCAGTCCCTGGAAGGGATCGCAACAACTGTTCACTGGGAGCAGATAAAAAACAGACTGTGTTTACCATTAGTTTGACTGTTTAGTGCGCAGACAGAAATCAATACATGTCTACATGTGTCCTTGTGTGCCCTCCGGGGGGGTTGAGTTCATACAGAAGCGTATTTCTGCCACGCCAGTAAAAACTATATTAGGATATTTTTCACGATATAACAAGATGTTTTTATTACGCTCAAACTATTTTTGAGTTTTTCACCCAAAAATGGTCCATTGTAGTTTAAATTCTGCTGCTTGACTCTAAGGAGTATACATCATTATCAGGTCAGGTCTCCTTTACTAGGCTGGTCTGGATTTTAGAGAAATGTCTCTCTGTGGATTCAAATGAATGATGGACTCATTTTTATACAAGTAATAATCATACTGGTTTAAATAAACAGTTTGATAGTATTGGTAGTAGTTAAAGGCCTGTCCCATACAGAGGCCTGTTCGCCATCCTGGGAAAAACAATCAGGTTGCAGAACACTACTGAATGATTAAAGTTATGACGTGGTAACTCATGTTATAACAATAAAAGTTATTGTGTAAAAATATGAAAATATCTTGAATTTGCAAATTATTTTGTTATAACAATAAACTTTCCACTTTATAACATGACACTGAGATGCTTGTCTTTTTGTGGCATGGCAGCAATACGCCGTCCTAGATTCAGACACAGTGTGGAGGTTAGTGTTGAATTATTGAGGTATGACTGGAATAATCTGAATCAAAATGTGTTTTTGTGGTCATTAAAGATAAGAAATATGAAAACAAATTAAGTTAAAAAAAGAAAAAAAGGCCCTGATGTTATCAGCCCCACCTGGCTGTGCTGATCGCCACCTTTGATATCTCGTGTCATGGCAGCTTTGTCTCACAGCTGGACAACAGGCCAGGAGACACAAACAGGACGCCGACAGCCCAAACATGTGCCTGTCAGACATCAAAAACCTGCCGTGATAATCCTCATTGGCTGCGAGGCCCGAGCTCAACGCAGACACCGGTGACTCATCGGGGTCTGTCGCGTCCTGACGGTTCTGATTCCGATCTGGAAAACATTTTGAGCCACTGAAGCGAGGTTAAAAGCGAAGTGACGTATGCGATTTTGATCGTGTTTGTGAAACAAGACATCAGGATGAGTCAGCAAGCACAGACTGTGTACAGGCTCAGGGCACATGTGGGGCAGATAGGGTGTAGAGCAGGCTTTTTCCTTGAGGGACCCCTTTTTCTATCATTTAGCAAACTAAGTAACTGCCTGCGGGAGGAAGTGTTTTAGTAACATTTGTAAACAAGCCCTCGTTATGGCCGTTCGGGAAGAACTGCCAGTTTTTGACACTTACATGTTGGCCTAGTTTGCTGTCTTATTTTCTTCTGGTGTGTTGGGTTCTGAAACACGAATGACGTACATTCAAAACTCTGCTTGAACGCATTCCTGTGTAGACAAAGACAGAGGACTGGAAATAATGGGCTTCTCACGCTGACATCTCAATGCATCCAATCATATGTCGGCGGAAACAGCCCTAAATTCAGCTGATCTGGTTATAGGTTAGGATGAGGTTAGGAATAGTGTCGTAGTCTGAGAGGAACTATTGTCTGAGAGGCACAACGCAGGGCAAAGAGGTCAGTTTCACATCAAACACATGTCTGACTGTCTGCTTGACTTCCTGAGTTGAATATGACTGATTGCATTATAACCCGTCATCCAAAGGAAACGTGCCTTTTATTTCACTCGTGCAAAAGATAAACTACATATACAGCATCATTTCTAGGAGATTTTATTTTTTCTCCCTGTCGACATTTATTTCATCAAACTGATTTCAGAGAGGACCCTCTCAATTATTGTGAAATCAGATTTGGGGATGAGGTGATTTGGCTCAGAGCTCAGACTGATGAAACCATGTGAAAGTGCAGCATGGACTTTATTAGGAGGGGAATAAATTGAAGGCCATCTGTATTTGAATGCACTATTTCTGGGTCAATTAGTTTTTTTATTTGAGTGAAAGTGGCATCATATGAAACGCAGAGAGTGTTTTCAACAGTCCTGTGTAAACTGAACTGCAGTGTTTTGTATCTTGTTTTGAAGAAACTATTCCTTCCTTCTATGCTTCTGTTATCCTTCGATCATTAATTGGCTTAATTGTTAATTACATTGAAACAAAAAATGTTTGTCAGCGACACTGATGAGCCAAAAATAGATCTTTGACAATAAAAACTATGACGAAATGTGTGTTTTGTTGGGGGATTATCACACATTTTAAAAATGTATATAATTTTCCCCCAATAAGACCCCCTTTATTTATAACTAACACTGCTTTGTCACTTGACCAGCCCGCCAAAACCCGTTATACAGCCCGCTCAGCCTGGGTCCTGTGGGTTGTGAGTATTAAAGGTGTTATTTATGAGGGTAAAACACTTGATACTGTCACCTTTACTCCTATACCTATTTCCTATATGGCCTAATTAAACTATTTTAATATATATAACTATTTTATTTTCATTGACTAAAACTGTACTTAAATGTTATGTGCTATCGTCAACTAAAACAAGAATAATACAATGAAGGATGTAACTAAAACTAATAAGCATTTTTATCCGAAAGACTAAGACTAAATGTAAAATAGCAGCCGAACACTGGTTCACTTTTATTTCTTCATTATATCTTCATCATCTGACTGTAGCCTCCCTCTCTTTCTCCAGATCACTGACCTGAACAGACGCATGTCAGCCATTGAGACCCTCTTGAACCACTTAGAGCAGAAGGTCACCTCAACATACGACCAGGTAAATCCATTAAATTGCACAGAATCATCATCATCATCATCATCATCATCAAAAGGAGGCATTTGGTTTTATTATATGAACCTTTACTGGACACATAAATGCATTTAGTCAAGCAACAAACGATGTCCCGTTCCTCAGACGGCGCTCTGCATTCATACTCTTTGCTGCGCACACACACAGCTGATGTTAATTCAAGTCTGTGAGGACTGAGGGGGGATATATAGCCTGCTGGGACTTGGCCTTAACTTCACAGAATACACTGTTGATGACCCCTGAGTGACTGCCATGTTTCCATATGGATGCTTATGGCTGTATCTTAACATTTACCTGTCAGGAAATGCAGATATGTGCACACCATATGATGTGTGACGGTCTGCTCCATGGGCTGCTTTTTATTTCTTTCTAATTCATCCTGCTGCTCGCAAGTTGGTGAAGAGTGAACAGTGATATTTATTAGTCAGCTAGATGAAATCATTGTTGGTTTTGGACTATTTAAGGATCTCCTCCAGACATGTATTAATGTGTCTGATATGTTTTTTTCCACAATTTCCACATTAAAATCCTGAAAAAGGAATCAACTCCTTCTACCTCATTGAAAATAAATGTACAAATTTTGTTAATTGTAAAGTCCATTCTCAGTGTCTTTGCACTTGTGGCTTTATGTTTTTTACATCACACTTGTATAGGTTGCATACTGGACCAGGCTTGACTTCCAAACTATTTGTGATGTCACAAATCATCCTCATAAAATCAGATTTCAGTGAACACAGAGACACTTTTCACTTTCAGCAGATGAATGTGAAAACATCCTTCTAGTGTAAAAACTCTGCACAGACATCATTCAAACATCACACTGTAGGATCAAGAAGAAACAAATTAGCCTTAAAGCTAACAGCACTAATGACCTATGTGTGAAGTGTAAGGGGTTGCTACTAATGACAACCCTACAGAGAATTATCACCTGACTGCAGTTCTACAGAGCGTTTTTAGCATCTTTCAGCTCATTGTTTTTAGTTTAGTGTTGAATATGCAGCGGTCAACAGTTCAAACTTATGAACGTGGCCTTTCTCCTAACCTGCTGGTAAAGCTAAACGTGACCTGTGGGTTTATTCGAGTATTTAGCTTTCAGAAATGTTTTCTGTCCTAATAATGAGGCATTTTATGTGCAGCTCATTGTTCAAGCATTCTGATAATGAAGAGCGGCACACACTCCTCATATCCATCCTCCTCTCATCAACAGCGATGTCTCATGTGGGTTTGGTGTCTGTTTTTAATTGGAACGTAAGACCTGAAATCCACACCAATATCATCAGATAACATGCCAACCCACAAAGACAGCAAGCCGTAAACAAACACAGAACTTCAGCTCGCCTGGTAATTAGTGGCTATTCGCCTTCGAATGAGAGCAAAATGTGATAGACTCATGCTTTTTCCTCTTTCTTGTGGAAAACCACAGCTTAAATCAATTCAGCACATGTTTTTTGCCGGTTTTGAGTCTGCACGCAGCACATCCTGTGTTAATGTCCGTCTGATTACCATAGTAACAGGAGAGATGTGCTTTCATGCATCCAGGCGGTCTTCTAGACGTGAAATTTAAAAAAATTATTTTACCGCCTCACCTTCTTCTACAGCGATTTACAATTGGACGCAGCATTAGCGCCAATACCGGCTTATTTTTCACTGGAACAATATCAATCAAAAATGAACCTGCTTCTACTTTTTATCGCCTGTGTGTCCCCTCTGATAAAGTAATGAAGTTAGTTAATAATTATAACACTGAGGTTTTACTCTACTGTAAGATAGTTAGCCACGCATGCCAATGTTTACATTAGAGCAGCTGATCCGGAGCTGATCCGGAGCTGATCCGGAGCTGATCCGGACCCAGCAAACCCAGCAAAAAGAGGGATGTAATATTTACATTTTTATCACATTTATTAGAAGTTGGAACAACTAGGAAAGAAATATGGCAATTTTTTTTATTGATTATAATGATTGACTATAAACTTTGGCTCTGGGGGTCCGTGGTGTAATGTGAATCTATTGCGGGGGGCCTTGACGTGAAAAGGTTTGGGAACCTCTGCCCATCTGATCTGTTTGTCCTTGGTAAACTGCAGCACCCAGAGGAACGTTGCCTGCTTTTGCTCATCCAATCACTCATTTTAAGTCAAACAAAAACACACATTATAGATGATTTTTCTCAGACACGTACTCTCTGCTCTGTTCCTACAACCCAACCAGGCTCCTCCGACTCCAAACAGCACCTCTCCTCTTCCTCAGTGGGAGGAGGTGGACCTAGAGGAGCAGCAACTGAGACAGAAGCTGCACGAGATGACGGATAACATCAGTGACCACAGCCTGAGCTCGGATGAAGACGAGCCCAGCAGGCCACACTCCTCCCAAGAGATCCCGGCATGGAGAAGCCCAGAGGTGGAGGTCAAGCCCTCTAGACTACCTACCAGACCCACATCCAGAACAAGCATCATAATCTCCAGACTTGAGGAGGAGCAGCCTCAGCAGGTAGAGATCTCCCTGGCTGAGGAAGTAAAATTCTGTGTTCTTATGCAAGCATTCTTACTTGGATTAACACTCAACACAAAGTTTATTAGAAACAAACTGCACATCTGGATTGTTGCACTTAAAAAAAAACCAAAACAGCCAGGCTCATGAAATCCCATACCACCTCTGCTGGAATCCGGTTCAGGCACATACTGTAGTCATAAATCAAGTCACTCAGCCTTAGCGTTTATTTTTTCTTTGCAACCATTTCTCCAAGATTTTCTAAAACACAGAATTGACTTGAAAAATAGCTCCTTCTTCAGTTAATGTGCTAAGTTGCCTGAACTGTTTTCACTGGCATTTTTTCCCCTTTAAAGTAACAGAATGAACAGTGCTCTGGTGAGTAATGATATTCTGTTTTTTTCACATAACTTTAGTATAGGATTGTTCAAACTGCAATACCCTCTCCTAAGGATTTAAAGTATCACATAACACTAACTTGCACAAGCAGGAAAACACACTTGAAGTTAGAATCTGATAAAGCTCTAACTCGTGGAGTTGCCTGTTTTGTTTCCATTGTGACTGAAGGGGGCAAAGGTCAATGTGTTTTCTGTTCTGCTTATTATCAAACCAAATAGCTTTTTCTGTCTCACTGACTATAGTGAGCTATGAATGACAACCTGCCTCTACAGGATATGCTGTTTATGGAAGACTGACTGTTGCTGTTCATATAATAAAAGCTCTTCTAGACTTTCAAAATGTTACCATGACCGGGGACGCCCTGGTAGCTCCCCTGGTAGAGCTGTCGCCCCATGTACCAAGGCTGAGTCCTTGCTGCAGCGGCCATGGTTTCGACTTTGACCTGTGGCCCTTTGCTGCACATGATCTTACCGAAGCCAGTCAGAAGAGAGAAAACATCTTTTCCCTCGAGAAAATCCTCCGGTGCCGTTTCTTTACTCTTCCTTTAATGAAGAAATACTCTCCAGTTCTGATACAACTGATGCTAGCAGCATCTACACTAACCTCTTAGGCAGCCGCTATTGTTATCACTCCTCACACGCTGTGCCATATACATCTAGCGTTAAACCACACCTGTAGCTCATGCTGTAGCTACCAGTAGTTCCTCAGAGGACGCTGATTGGTCTGTAACTACTGTGTTCTGATACATATCCAGCTGCCTTGCAAGGTTAATAAAATGCCCCACCACCCCCACAAAAAAGAAAATTCTCAATCAATTTTTGACGTGGCAAAACAAATCAGCAATTGTTTTAATTTGTCCCATTTCTGTTGTAGACATATCTTTCAACAGAGAGCCTGGAGAGATCAAAGGAAAGCTTCAAAGGCTCAACGGCCTTACTGGTGGAGCTGGAGGACAAGGTAGCACAAGCAGCTGCCAACGTCCAGAACGCCCAGAGTGAGGTAAGAAGAAAAAAATATATATATATAATATACTTGTTTAAAAGAAATAGAAACAATAGAAGCATCAGTCACTTTCTCTCTTTTTACCTCAAGGTCTCTTACATAGAGAACAGGATCGCTGCCCTGAACGCTGCCGGCATGCCAGTGGATAAAAGAAGAAGGGTAAAGACATTTAACTATCATTGTCATGATTATAAATATTTGTTTATATTAAATACATTAAATATGTAAGTGTGAACTCAAACAAGTGCACAGGAAGCAGAGCTGTTCTAATGGGATAATGGACTTGACTTGGTGATCTTTGGCCCCGCCCACTTAGATTCAAATCAACCAATAAGATCATTTCTATTCCCTGAGCAGGTCTGTCTCTGATACATGCTTCTACACTCCATAGTGCCAAAGAAAAGGCTGATCAGTCATATATTTTCCCACATTCTCACTTTTTGCTTTTCTGTTTGTTTCCCGCTTTGGTGTCTTCCAGTCTGCAATCCCGATCCAAGCAAGAAGACTTTCCCACAACTTTCCCACAAGTAAGAACTGACACTGCTGCCCTTGAGCATAATCCCCAGGGCCTTTCGACTGACTCAAAACATCTTAACCTTGTTAAACTCAGAGAACATGATGATCTGTTTTGTGAGTCGGTGAACACTGAGTACTATTGTACTAGCGCTTCAGTTTTCCCATCTGTATGTCAGATACTGAAATTTCTCCACATGCAGAATTCCCACAGGCGTGCTGTTCTATGAACGGTAGAATATATTTTGAATAGTAGTTATAAAAAACTTAGAAACTCTGCTGGGACACTTTGGAAAAATGAAATATTGATATCATGTTAATAATACGCATATGATAATATTATGTAAATAATCCAGCACCTTTTAAATCATTTCTGTTTCTTTATGGCATTAGTGCACCTTAACGCTTTGACTGAAAGCATTATTTATTTTCTTATTCACATTTTATATAGATATCGCAATAATATCATTCTTTTGGCCAAGATAATCATGTAGTGAAAATCTGATATCATGACAGCCTCTTCTTCTAATTCACCTTCCAGTGCTAATAATGAAAATGCTTTTCTAACAGTGTTACTCTATATAAACTTCCAGCTTTTAGGTTTGTAACACAATGACATGGCAAACTGCAATTTGACTTTATAACTGTTCGAAGTTTAGAGCCAGTAGAACATGGATGTACAATGTAGTTGCTGTATGTTTCCAGGCCAGGTGGACAAGTTTGTGAGGAACTCCCTCTACAGGGGCTCCCTGACACAGAGGAACCCAGTGGCCAAGCCCAAGACCAGGGCTACCTTTGCGGTATGACCCCATTCTGCGGTGCTGGGTACAGTGAAGAGTTCAGTTCCAATAGTATATTGCTACCATTTGAAAAAAAAAACGCCTAACCTACACTGGCAAACGTAACTATAGGAAAAAATTTGAACATGTGATAGCAGATGCTTTAGTCTGTCCTAAAGATATTGAACTCAAAGGAATAGTCTGGCATTTTGGGAAATACACTTATTCACTTTCTTGCATTGATGAGCAGATTGATCTGTTAATTAGAGAGCTAGTGACAGGCGATTAGCAATTGTTTTTTAGAAATTAAAGTCAAGTCATTTTTATACTTTTGTTACAACAGATTAATTAGTGAGCTTGGAGGTGCTGGCAGGGAGATTCTGTTACCCCCTGTTTCCAGTCTTTATGCAAAGCTAAGCAAATTTTTTGTAACATTATATTTAACAAACAGACATAAGTGGTATTGATCGTCTCATCTCTTGGCGAGAATGCAAATAAACATTTCCCAAAATATTCAACCATTCCTTTGATTATTTTTCCATTCCATATGGATCTATTGCTGGAAACGAACTCTTCATTTACAGGTTACACTGGGCTTTGGCCTCTGCTTCTGGTGGATTATTTTGGTTTCCAATCAAGCTTTGTGGTGGTTTGAAATAATTGTATTTTTTTTAATTTTTGCTTGCTTCTTCCGTTTCAATCAAATAACAAATCCTTTTGCAATTCTTGCATTATTAAGAGTGTATGCCCAATGTGCCGACTTTATTATTTAATTATTCAAGTTGTTTAAATCTCTCTGCACTCGGTAAAGATAAGGTAAGGGATAATTGCATTTTCTTTCATTTGTGCTTCCTCTGTTTCAATCAAATAACAAATTCTGTTCAGTTCTTGCATTATAGAGAATGTACTCCTTGTGTGCCAGCTTTATTCAGTTACTAAAGTTGTTTAAATTTCTTTAAACTTGGTAAAGACAATAATCAAATCTTTTTTCAGTGTTAATTATTATGTTTTTTTACTTTTACACAAGCACTGATACTATTAATGTGTGCACATGCTTGAGTCTTTTGTTTTGCCTCAATTTAAATAAAGCAAAAAGAACTGAGAAGAAGCATTACAGGCGTAGTTAGATGATGGAATCTTAATCTTGCTGTGATCTTAAATACCCTAATGTGTATTCAACTTAGAAGGATTTAAAACACATGTGCATGCATCACACAGCTCTGTCTGAAAGGGGGTGTCACTGTTTCGACTGCCAAGATGTCTGAGATTAACGTACTTAAAGTTAACGATAAAGATATAAAGATTTGAGACAAGGCCACGCAGTATGCTTCAGGTGTATCTTTTTTTAAAGGAATCTTCTTCAACCATTAATGAGGCACTTTTTTGCTAACTTTTATATGTGTGGGAGCTAAAGATTATTGTCTTGGAGCTGAGCTGTGATCCAGACTCCAGCAGTCCAAGTCCAAGACACTGTTGAGCTTCCTTTTATATGTAATTTTCACTATTTGCTTATTATCCACCCTCTCCTCTATACGTACTAGTAAAGATAAAACAATGAGCACAAACACAATGATTATTTTTGAATTTTTGAATGAATGTGCTTTAATGTGCTCTATTGTCAATTTCCTGTCCATTTATTTGCTTTAATCATTCACAACCCTCAAATCTCGCACGGTGATTCATCAGCCATCAACAGGTTTATGGAGACATTACAGACCTGTTTT